CTGCTCGCTGATTAGATAAGGGCTACGTCCGAAATACATACTCATGACATTTTTGCATTCCTGTTCAGCAGCCTAATTAACGGCCGTTGTAAATGTTGCCAGCTGAGATACAGTTATAACTGCATCTCACAGGAAAATAAGGTCACTAGCAGTATTTGGGGAGTACAATTTACCGTGCTTCAATTGACTTTGCAAACAAATTTCCAAAGTGTAACTTACGAACCAACACTGTCACAAAAAAAAACCTAAAAGTCCACTAAAGGCGCATTTTACCAGAAAGTACACGAGCACTTGGCTGCACGTCGTCTAAATTTGCTGCCGTACAACTAGGCTGACTGTGACATTTATCTTAATAACACAAGTGATCGAGGCTCATAACCACGCACGGTTTTGGTGGTTGAAATCATTTAGATCTGCTGCTTCGATACCCTCAACAGGACATTTAACTGCCTTAAGATCTAAAATGACCTAAACCAACAATTTTTATCTGCGTTTGTGGAAAATATTGAATTTTTTTCACCTGATGGTCGCCATGCCAACGAAATCCAAAGTTCGAGGTCTATGTTTTACCAAGTTATTTGCTATTATTTTTAGAAAAAATTGTGGCAAAAAGTCTATACGAAGACCGATGTACCGAAATCCAAACGTCACTCTCTGGTATGCCAATGTTTGTGCTAAACTTAATTTTGTAAAATCGATTTAAGTCCACAGAATGACATTGCTGGAATGCATTCTACAGTTTTAGAAATCTTGTCAAAGCAACTTTCTATAATTATCACTTATGGTCGCCTACGTTGTTTAAATTTCTGTATTATTTGGACAATATCACCATCACCACAATCAATTGCATTTCAGGAGTCCGCATCGTCGTCGTCGTCGTCATTCTTTTTTTCCAACAGCTGAGTCATTCTAATTAACCTAATGTGCTTCTAGTTAAATGAGGCTCGATCCCAACTTGGGCAAATAACACTTTAATAATGCTAATTGGTGGTGGCAGGTGATTTCGTCTTAACTCCACAATTTCATCTGCTCTTCCCGTGCTTTACATTCTAAATTGACCTGAAAATGTAATCACTATCGGGTGTATTTAGGTGTTAAATCACACCTAGGCGAATATAGGGTGCCATGGCAGCTTTTGCACCAATAGTGATCAAAACCCATTCATTCAGTGCTTGGGGTTGCCTGTTTGATGTGCGTCATGGTTTTACCGTGGTTTGTCTGGCACTCCCATCCCCGCGTTTGCGCTGGGGAAGAAGGGTGAGTGTAAGCGAACTTGCATACATGATTTAGGGTTACAAGAATTTGCCGGATTTTTAGTTTTTTTTCGGTGAATTTAAATGCCGATTCTAATGCATGTCGCAGTGCATTAAGCAAGGTGTGCAAGAATACGAAAAGCAGTATTCTCAGTAGTTATCAGCGATAGGAAAAATTATTTGCCCTTTCTTTGTTCTCGGAATTCTTCAAATTTAAGTATAAAAAATGTTTTCCGATTTGTACCTATTTAGGAAAAGCAAACATTTGCCCCATAACAGAGAGAGACCATATATGAGCAAACTGCCAGTTATTCAGTTTCTGTGTTGAATTGAAGTTCATTTCTGGGATGCGTAACTTCAAAACAAGGTAATTGTAGACAATAGCGCCTTGAACAGCATCAAACCGGAGTAGAAGAACAGTGTCGCACAAATTTCAACAGAATAAATAACGAATGCAAACAACAAAAATCGACGCTTACTGCCATTGGTTAAGTTGAATAGTGTTTCAATAAAACCAGTTTATTAAAACAAAGGGTTATTTTGAAATGACATGGACAATGTCGCAGTGGTCCTCCGCCATTCGTTAATGCGGATTTCCCCTTTTACACCGTCAGGGTGAAATCTCATAATTGACACCTTCAATCGCCAGAAATACATTTGTGGGTAGGCAGATGGTCTCTGAACATCTCCACACTGGTCACATAGGTTTCCGGGCTTGCTGTCATTTGCCTTCACTATATTCAGAATAAGTGGCACACACTACGGAGTCTGAAGGTTATTTCTGTACCATAGTCAGTTCCAAATTCTAATCATGACTATTGATTTTCAAATTACGTCTCTCAAAAACTCAAAATATTTGAAATCATTTGATGTTCTTTCACCAAGGGCATAACCTTCTGTGACCTTGATTAATAATGTCTCAGACCAAATGTCCCCGACAGAAGCGGTCACACCTAGTGATTTCATGTAATCCATTTAACTAGTCAACTTAGCCCAGTAATTTACAAAGCTTATCACCGCAGCTTCCAGCTAACCCTCATGACTTCTCTGATTGTATTTCATTTCACGATGTGCTTTCATGTTTCGTGTTGTGTTGAACTGTGCGTCAAGAAATATCGATATGGTTTAATCACCTTGCCGAAACTCCATGCTAGGTACTACTCAATATTTTTGCCCCATGGTCCTCAATAGTTAATTTCAAGGCTCCGGTTTACCTAAATATTTAATCACAATGGCCCAGTCCATTGTTTATTTATTTTTGCGATGTGTTTATGTCGATTTCAACCGTCATACATCTGTATCACTCAGGTCCCCAATAACACCACCTTTTAATTATTCCATAAGCCATGGCACTTTATTAAACCGTCGCTTTTAACTCATTCTGGCTTTCTGCAAACCAAAATAACCTATTTTACAGGAAATATTTGCCTCTTAGCTCTTAGTTTTAGTTAATCCCTAATTTGAAAATGCACTTCCGCATCTAAGTGATCGCAGTGAAAGATGAAGCCGATATTTTTGGCGTACTGATTGTCATTCTTGGACTGGTGGCATTGAAGAAGTCCTCTTAAACAGCCTGCAGGTAAGTCAGATTTCTCCGGAAGGTCACTGGTACCCTTTAGTGGCTTGTGCTTCAACCAACCGCGATGTGTGATGCCTTTTGCGACGACCGCCGCTTCTTCTATCCACGCTGGCAGAAATGCATTTGGTGTTTCATTTAATCCACGTGTGAAATTTGCCATAAATCGTTGTACGGCACTAGTGGACAAAAACGCTATGCTTTGGGCATTAAATGAGGCGCCTACGTAGTTTCTTGCGTTACCAGTCAAAATTGTAGGATAGTACGCGTCTACCTACACGCCACCACAAGATTTCATCCACTCATAGCATCGGATGTCTCAGGTTTTTTAAGTAAAAAACGCCTTCAGCAGCCTTACAAATCGTATTGAACCAGCAGCAAAACATTTTGACGTTTACCTAAAGGCACCCACTGGATACGATCCACCTGGTTGAACTCTTCTATTGAACACTACTTAAAATTTGTGAATTAGTACTATTTCAAAATGGATAAATGATTCGAGATATAACCAGCATAAATACCCAAGTTTTGGTCGAACAAGTTTTTAAGGCCCGAGTTTAATTTATGAATCTCGAGTCAGGCTTGCTGATTTAAAAAGGACTGTGTGGAAATTGTTCAATAATCCCCGAATTTTGATCGCATCAGTGGAAAATCACTATAAAAAGCCACTGTATCCCACACTGATGCCAATAAAGTTTCCAGAAAAGCACATGAAAGAGGGATATCTGGGGATGGAAGGGATGGAAGATCATTGCAAGATGCTCTGTGATTTGCGTGTTAGTTTTACCCGTTATCCTACTTCCTTTGGTTGATAATTTTGAGAAAATTTTGCATACTTAATTGGCGTATTTTGCACTTCTAAAAGTAAATGCCAACAGGCTTGAATTTTGAAATGCCATCCTATGTCATAGTCATTCATAACCTCTCGTAGACTGAAAAGGAATCCTGAATCATATTGCCTTCTTGGACTTCATGCTTCGTGCAGCACAAATTGAGTCTTGTGGACGGTTGAAGGAACACAATCCCTAATCGAGGTAGCTGCTGTGTACACCGGGAGATTTACTCACATATTAGACGTATGACTTTGAGCGTAAGAGGATATTTAAAATCGAAGCATTTCCGCAGTCTTTTGCAGCTTTGAAAGGACCGGTCTCAAGGTTTCACAACGCCGAACAAAAAGTCTACGACGGCATCTGATACACAGCACGTTCGGTTGCACTACGGTTTGTACAAATTCCAGCAAAAAACTTCAAAAGCAGGGAAATATCAATTTGTAGTGTTCTTGGTGCTGCCGATGTTGTGGCCTTTGAAGGGTGACATTTTTGGCACAAACATTTTAAAAGTGGTGACTTCGGTAGTAGTGACCAGCAGCGCCTCGAATAGCAGCCTCGAAAGTGTTAAGAAGTGGAAGTGCAAGTTCTGCCGGATGAATACTCGACGTAAACGTATTAGGAGCTTCCAGTTCAGTTAGGAGTCACCCAAACAAACGGGAAATTATGCAAAAACGCGGAACTTGGGTCCCCCTACATGTGTTGACCGAACACAACCTAGGTCAGCGTTTGAACACGTGGCTTTCAGTGCTTGGGGAACGCTAAAGCCGACAATTAAATAAAGTGGCCGAAGAACTTGATCAGAAGAGGCCCTTTACTGGACAAGGAAACAGGCAAGTCACACAAAAGCTTCATGGAAATGCTCAACCGCCTCACGTTGTTCGCGAGACTCAGAAAATCCTCTTAAACTTGGCATGGAAAGTTCTCCCACATGCGGCATATTCACCACGTTTTAGCAGATAAACAGTTAAAAATTCAGAACGATGTGTAAGTTTACTACCTTGAGGTTTCCTTTGCGACGGCATTCGTATATTACCGGGGAGGTGGAGCAAGGTCATATAAGACGCTAGAAAATAAATCCAAGATTAAGTTCGTTGTCGTCTATTAGATAAATTCGTAAAAAGACCTGGGATAATTAAGTCATAATATGAGTATTCACACGTTAGGAATTCGCTAGCCGCATTACCACGCCACAATTAAAACGGCCTCGATCATGCTTAAAAAACAATGGTTTACTGTCCCCTAATTAAGAACACAGGTACGTTAGTCATAACAACCCCATCGTTTAAACACCAAGCAACGATGTGTCAATTTATGTTTTTTTGTTTCTGCATTGTTTAAATGCTGTTCGCATTAGCGCTTGGCGCACGTGTGGCAGCGGCGGCGGCGACGACGGTGGCGGCGGCGGAGGGCAGGCATTATCGTCGAGGTGCACCTCCCACCACCCCCCCGCCTCAAATGTTTATCACGGAGTTCGTGGACTGGCGCCTGGAGCGTAATGCGAGCTACGACATCGCCGCGCGTCCACCGAACACCCTAATACATCCGTCCAGCCATTTTATGTACTACGAGTTCTTGAGAGTCAACCTAAGGTTCGTACAGGGGCTATTAACACTACTGATGCCACAGCTAATAGTATTATTTGTCCTAACAGAAGACTATGGTCATCATTGGCACGTTTCTTGTCAAAAAGCATCGCTAATTTGACCGATTTATTAAAAAGGTAATAAATGGGTGGTTTAAATAGGATCGATTAATACATCGATCTGTGGGTGAACATAGCTACGTGAAGAGCATTCAAGCAAATCGATTATATCGTGTTCGCTCACGCTTGCTAATTGTGTTAGCACGCTGCTCCCCACAGAAGGCTTGAATGAATCTTATTATCAATATACAATACCTTTGTTTAAGCTGGATGAGGCTTATGATCTTAATTAGTACCGATTCAGCATTAAATGATAGTCTGATTCGATTGTGCAGTTTCAATATCTAATACGTCTAGATTATAGTATTTTGGAATTCCCATCGTCTACTAAAACCCATGCCCTTCGTTGTGAGCAATTCTCAACCAGACTGTGAATCGGTGGCATACTCCCAAATTCGCTAACTGCTGGCTTTTGCGTTAGTGCGCATTAGTCAAATCAGGAAATAGCTTTTTCACTCTTGCCCGAAAATCAAGTAGGCTAAACTGACAAACATGTAGGCGGGCCTACTTAGTCATCATTTGTAAGACAAGTGAAAAAAAAAGGAAAGATATGTTTCTCAGAATGATATTTTATCAAGTAATCTGACTCCTCGCTCGACGAGACCAGTCACATGCAGCTTGACGTGAGGGAATATCATAAATCAGGCACCCCAGTACCTTTTTACAGCGGGCATTTTATATATCGGAGATCACATAAACATTATCGCCTTCCCACAGCCTTTACCTCGGCTGTGCCACGTGTAGGGAGATTATTTCACACACATTACTTATCTAGATAGGGATGTAACATGAATTGAGGCACGCTAGCTAGGAATACTTACCAAACAATAATGCTTAACAGCCACCAGAACGTGTGCCGTTGTTTGTATCTGGGGTAGAGAGACGGGTTAAGTTGGGCAGCACTTCGAAACAAACCGTCCCCAAATGGACACTAGTTTTGCTCTCATAGCCTTATCGGTTTGGAAGTTTACACCTGCGGCAGATGTCAATATTCCTTCAGACAATTAACTTAACAATACCATTTGTGACGTCTATTTATTCAGCTCTACAGTCACGCTACATTACCACTCACACAGGCACCTCATTCCTAAGTGTTAATTAATCAACTCGTCGACCTCAGACAGCCCAGATATATGCAACTGGGCACATATGAACATCCCCTCGACTTCCGCTTTTGGCCCCCAGCTGGTTCAGACAGAAGAGCCCTCCGTACAACCTCTAGTCTTCTCTTATTCTGGGGAACCTTCGACGTTCCAGACAAAGGGTTTCAACTATTACCCTCGAAGATTTGCATCAGTACATCGGGGAAAAACTTAACCCACCGCATAGGATCTCTCAAAACGTCGTACCGATCATCTAGGGATCAGATAACCGTGTCCGGTAGTCGTAGCCCCACCCCTCCATCACATATAAACACAGCTGACGCCCAAACACCACCGGGTTCCTCTCTCGCTCGAGAAGAAATCCCAAGCCACCTGGTTCTAGTTGGTGTCATGCCTCAACGGTTGGCCTAACTTGGCCCTTGTGAGATTTGTCGCACTGATACCGCCAAATAGTTTTTTGCAGTCTTGTACAAATCCCAGGAGCGAAACCCTTCCGACAATGGATGCGAAGTCACGTGACATGCGTCCACAAAATAGCGTGACACATTAGAGCGTTGATAAAAGGACTTAATTTCAGACTGATTGCCACAAGAACGATATTTTGCGGCCTCAGAGCCTTCATAGCGCTTTTAAGTCAAGGAAATTCAGCCAACAGACAGCGCGGACCCAAAACTATTAGTCCATCCCAGCATCATTTGGTGCAAAATTGACCTACAACAAGATTCTTTGAAGAGAGAGGCTTTGTGTTGACAAAGCACCCATCGTTGGCCAATTTCACACTAAAAATATGGACGTTTCTAACTCCGAAAACGGATATTTTAACAGGCGACCCTGCACCGCATGTAATATCATTAAATGTTAAAATCCAGACACATTAATTATTCTGATCACCACATATTTTTCGTTTTCTTCACCAACGAAGTCTCGCCGCTGAGCTTCAGGCCTCCCGCATCAGAGCAGACAGCCCCCACCTGCTGTTATTTCAATTTTTTAATCGTAAAATGATAGGGCAGCAGTTTACCATAGTCTTCACTCAAATAGTTAAGCAAGTGCAGTGAAGGAAAGCGTTGTTGTTGTTTTTTAATAAAAGGCTTATATTATATTTAACATGATGTAATCATCGTTTACTAAATTCGGCAAAAAAATCTTGATTGTGACATCTACAAATGCATCAATCAACCTTATCTGTTTCCAGGAGATGCACGATGACCAGCAGGCGAGCACAGTTAGCAGTCGTGAGCGAACACAAATCAATCGATTTTTTTCGTGAATGCAATTCATGGAGCTCTGCTCGTTTAGGAATCAATGCTTAGCGAAGCCATATAAACGCACTTGTTATTCTGCACGAACCGCACAATAATTAGTTACTCTACTTGACCTGCGTGACGCATATAAACGGTCGTGTTCTCTTTCGACTCTGTCTTCTCTCATCTCGGGTTGTGACCGGCTGTTATCTATAGGGTTTTGTGGTAGTGCTAATTTAGGCCTCCACAACCGTTTTGCACTTGCTGTGGATCGCGTTTATTCACACTAACTAATATGGTCACTCCAGCCTCCAACACAGGGTCCCCCTTTCCGCAGCATGTCGCCAGCCGCGCGGATCCTCAACTTCCCCCTCATTAGCACGATCGATTATCCTGGATTATCCTCACACCTAGGTCTCGATGTCAGCACATCTATGACTCACACAT